CCCCAGTGGAACTTTCTTTCCATCCCAGACCTCCTTCCCTTCCTTCGCTTCCCTGGCTATTGGTGACACTGTCACTTACCCTCTCGTGCCCAGGAAACTGGACTCCCTAGAGCTCCCTCCCACATGCCACATCGCGGGGGCCCGCGTGCAGCCTGTTCTTGTCATCTACGCTTTTACAATCAATCCCTGCCTCTGGGTCTCCATTCCTGCGGCCTCAGTCCCAGCCTCTGTTGCCTCTCCCCAGCCGGCAGCAGGATCTTCTTGCTGCCTTCTTGCTCAGCCTCCCCCTCAGTTCCAGGCGCTAGGCTGCTCCTGGAGGACTCGTCCATTAGATGCAGGCCGACCAACTCACTCGTGTCTGTCAGCTTCCCACTTCTCTCACAAAATACCTGAGGCACTCAGTGGCCAAAGACCAAAGGTTGATTCTGGCTCAGAGTTTGGGGGTTCCAGTGCAGGACGGGCTGGCCCTGCTGCTCTAAGCCTGTGGGAGCAGAAAGGAAGAGGATGGGCTGCGGTCCCACTCTTTCCATCAAGGGCTCACCTCCCACAGCCGAAGACCTCCCCGAGGCCCCGCCTTGAAGAGGCTCCGCCCCCGTCCCAAGAGTGCTGCTGCAGGCCAGGCCTTCAACACACGGCTTTGGAGGAACGTCGCACACCCGGACCACAGCACTTCCCAGAAAGCCAGGCGGAGCAGACAGCGACAAGATGGTGGAGCCCATCTGGGCCGCCCCCTGCAGCTTTGCCGTCCACCCTCATGCTGGGGACGCCGGGAAGGGCAAGTCCCTCCCCTCGCTGTCCTCCTCCTGGTGACTATAATCTTCCCAGGGAAGGAGAGTCGCAATCCTCGGGTCCTAACTCCTGGCCCTTCCGCTGGCCTGATTGCTGGTGGCCTCAGTGGCGATGTCACTGCACTCCCCACTGCACCCTGCTCCATGCCGTCGGTGGAACAAAGACTCTCTGCTTGGCTCTTGCCCCCGTGGGGACAAGGCTCCCTCTCCCCCCTCACTGGACACTGTGGCAGTGACCCAGACAGCAGCGACAAGGGAAGCCTTGGCACGAGATGGGGTCGGCAAATTCCTTCTGAAGAAAGGCCGACAGGAACCCTCTAGGCTCTGTTTCCTGTGCAGTGTCTCAGCCACTCACCCCAGCCACTCTAGCATGAGGGCAGCCCACACAGGAGAGGCACAGAGGAGCGTGGCCTGTGCCAATCAAACCTTAATTACAAAACGCAGCACCCGGGATATAGCTCAGTGGCACAAAGGCCTGCCTGGCAAGCACAAGGTCCTGAGTTCGATTCCCAGTATCAAAAAAGAGGGACACAGGTAGAGTTTTTGAGATGGGCGTGGTGGCGCACACCTGTAATCCCAGCACTGGGGAGGCTGAGGCAGGAGGATCGTTGTGAGTTCAAGACCAGCCTGTGCTACAAAGTGAGCTCAAGGCCAGCCTGAACTGCATAGCGAGACCCTGTTTCTTTGCTTTTTTGGGGCGGGGGCAGAGATAAGATTTGTTGATGAACTTGTTCGGGGGGGAGAGCGGCACAGTGGGAGCCTTCAGGAGTGCAAGGCCCGCCACTTGTCCAGGAGACCGCGATTCGGGATGTATTTCACCCCATAGCCATCAGGGATGAGGCGTTTCTCAGCCACCATGTCTTCAAATTCACCTGCATTGAACTTGGTGAAACCCCACTTCTTGGAGATATGGATCTTCCGGTGGCCAGGGAACTTGAATTTGGCCCTGCGTAGGGCCTCGATCACATGTTCCTTGTTCTGCAGCTTGGTGCGGATGGACATGATGACCTGCCCAATGTGAACCCTTGCCACTGTCCCCTGGGGTTTCCCAAAGGCACCCCGCATGCCTGTCTGGAGCCTGGATTGGGGACGGCAGATCAACTACATCAACATCCACTGGGAGTGTCTCCAAGGTCCCTTAGGGCAGCCCGTACAAGCAACAGGCTGCGTACACAACCGAGGAGCTTGCTATCCGCAGCCATTGCACACGGGGCACCCACCAGCAAGGAACCCAGTCGGCTTAATTGACTGCAGTGCGAGACCCTGTTTCAAAGAGACAAAACAAAAAACAAACAAACAAAAACCTTACAAAGCATGGAGATGGCCAGCTGTGGCCCTGGGACTTAAGGGGCCAGGTCCTGAGTTAAGCTTGTGAGCCAAAAGTCTGGAAGTCTAGGGCTTCTGTACAGGTAGCACAAAGCCATGCTAAGGATGTGGAGTCTGCACTAGAGAGGCTGAGGCAGGAGGATCACTTCGAGTTCAG